CCCACACACTATAAAGGATTTTCCTTTTTATAAAAAAAAAAAACCAAAAAACAAAAAAAACCAACCAAACAAAAAAAACCAAACAAAAACCCCAAAAAACTACCCATACATTTTAGTCTTCCCACCATCACTTTCACATTAGTGTTACAAGCTCAGACTTTAATTCACCATTATGGTTTAACAGTAAATACTTATTACAGTAACACTGAACTCAGCCAAATACAAGCACACCACAAATTACTTGAAGTTAAAACCTCCCTCCCTCCTTCCTGAATATAGTAATGTACATGGATTAATTTATATTGTGTTTATTAGCAGCTTCTTCAAGCTCACAAGTCTCTCTTTGGTAGCCTCTTTGAATGACTGTTTCAGGCCTTCAGCTGCTTCTGTATTAAACATTAAAACCCCCCATTATCAGGATTTGGTAAAGCAAAACTGTGTTTGCTATGGGAAAACATCAATTACTCCTGAAAGTAAGTGTTAGATCCAATTAAGTTTGGGAATATGTTTAACTGATAAGTTGATATTCAACTGACTTTGTTTAGCTGGTAGGTTCCTTACCACACTAGAGTTCTAATGCTATAGTATTTTACCCAAGGCTGTACTCAGTACACACAGGTACAGCTTTCTGTTAAAGATATTACAGTCTAAGTGATACTGGTTTATATAAAAGCATACTGGTTTTATAGAAGCATACTGTTAAGCATCTGTAAAGATGTGAAGCAACACCTGAACTATGAACAGCGGCCACACGTACAAAGGACCCATTTCTGACAACACAATCTTCCATCCCTGGCACAAGCGCTGTATGTCACCACCCTGTGCAAGATCCCATGACAGAATATCTACATTAATTTCTTTGTTGACGCATCGTATTTCAATAGAGAACACTTCAATTTCAACAGTTCTCCAGCAGAACAAAAATGTATCATGGCACAGTTTTGTATCACCATCTTCCTCAAAGCTCGGAGCCAACTTTCCTAAGTCACTTTCCCGTGTATTTAGTTGACATTGCAGAAGAGGATGCTAGAGTCTCACTGGCTCAATACATATCAACACTGCATCAGTCACAAGGACTACAGAGGATTTCTAAAATCAAGTGAAAGGGTCACAGTATTGCCAACCTATTAAAAAGATTAGATCTCATCACGAAAGCATAATAACACACATTGCCAACTTCCATTTACTGACTGCTGTATTGTTTTCTCCTTATGCCTGAAGAGGCATATAAAAAATTCAACAGTTGTTAAATATTTAGGTTAAAAACTCTGACTGGCCTGGAAGGAAGTCAAAAAACCATAATTCAAATGATTCCTTATTTTAGTAGCAAGTGAAAACTTTCATAAAGAAACCATATACTGCCTGGAACTGTAAAATACAACAGCTGGCAGAAACAGACATATATCAAGGTAGATTTTTTGTTCACTTGGGGTTTTTTGGGGGTTTTTTTGGACTGTCAATTTCTTGGGATAAGTGACTGAAGAACTGCGGGCCCTGTAAACCTATTCAACCTATCCAATATCAAAGCACTTCTCTGGGCTGCCACAGCTCCATGCATGACATCATTTGTTTACAGAAAGCAAATACTTGCCAATTATAAATAAAACAGAATTCAGTCTGTTGAAAACAGACAGATGTCTACAAGAGTGGCTATTCCTGTGTCTCCACACTAATTCATAGCGTTATAGTAGCAGTAGGGCAGCTTCACACAGCTTAGAAGATCTCGCTAAAAAGGGACTAGAAAGAAACTGCAGTATGTAATAATCTCATTAGCTGGGAATGCTCCCTAAAAGGGAATGCTTGCAAGCTTCAAAGTACATCACATTAAGAGGTATGTTTCATTTCAAGTGATTTAACAGGAGATCTCATCACTTCCAGTGCAGTTAAATACTAGCTCATCTACAGTATCCACTTTCAAGGTTAGTTTGTGTGCAGGTTTTTCACCGTTCTCATGTTTTGCCACATGCCTGAGTAACTGCTGACCTTGCTGGAAAAGCTGCCATAGCAATTGCATACCCTGAACCTTCAATAAAGCCCAGCAAGGAACTTGGCTGATAACATGTGAGTTTGTTGAGTGGGGTTTAAAAAGGTGACTAAATCCAAAAAGCAAACAGTAATATTACTTTTAAAAGAAGCTTATTAGCCAATTCTTTTTATTTTGAAGTCATAAATCACAGTGTGATAACACCTATTTTTTTCCCCAAGATAAACTGGGGGGGAAGAAAAAAAAAAAAAAAAAAAAAAAAAAAAAAGCCTTAACATGCCAAGCCAAGATTTATTAAAAGAAAAAAAAATTAAAGTCTGAAATACCAGACTATGATTCAACTAGAATACCTGCCTTGACATTTCTGTAGTTCAATGGAAAAATGTTACTGACTTCCTGAGGGGCACAAATTGAAGAAAGTTACTTCCATGAAAATCCAATAAAGAAAAACTCTCTTCACTCTTACAACCTTTCCTCTTGCTCTGCTAGGAGATGCACCATACAAATGCGCATTGTAGCTAAACATACTGTTAGGTAACTTTTATCTCGTATTAATAACTGGAGACCTTCATGGACACCCTAGACTCAGACCTTCCACACAGCACAGGGGAAAACGTAGGTTGGCATGCCTCCTGACAATGAATACTAACACCATTTCAAGAAGAAATATAGTGTGAAGCTGTCTAGGACAAAAGCTGTATAACAGAGTCTGCCCTGAGGGTAACCAGCCATTGGAACAGGCTGGCCAGGGCAGTGGTGGAGTCACCGTCCCTGGAAGTGTTCAAAAACTGTGTAAATAAGGGCCTTAATAACATGGTTTAGTGGTGGCCTTGGCAGTCCTGAGGTTAATGGTTGGACTTGATCTTAAAAGGTCGTTTCCAATCTAGGTCATTCTATGATTCTGTGATTCTTCTCTGCTCTCCTGGACAAGGCAATAATCACTAGTAAAACAACATTCATCAAAATTATATGAGAACAAGTACCCATAGATTCAAGAGAATAGTGCATGAAAACTCAAGGTTCAAACTCCACTGGAAGGCACATATCTTAAATGGAAACAAGGATAACATCTGGAACTTTCACAAATGACACAGAAGTATCTGCTTTTCCTGAAGCTGCAGAGTAGACAGCACTAAACCTTGTTACAGGGGTTGACTTACAGCCTCAATTTTCTTCAGCAGCACTAGGCAGAAAAACTTAGAAGGAAGCCCTCTTGACTCTATACAATACAGAAGGTTCACCTTGGAAGTTCTTCTGTCTATTAACCAGCATCTGTAACAGTTGCGCTTTAGTTCTGAAAAGCGTTTGCCATCTATATTATCACACTGAAGGGAGGACCAGGCAACGTGCATTATTTGAAGTTAAGACTGAAAAGATCTAAAGAACAGAGGCAGTCTTCTGGAGAGAGAAACCAGATTTACTTCGGAAACTAGAATAATTATCTGGAGGTTTCAGAAACACATTTATATTGAGAAACAGCAAGACAGGTATTCAAACCCTTGTCACATTAAGACAGTATTTAACTTGCTAACATCAGAGATGTACCTCCTTAAAATCTTATGCTTTTGCAAAGCAGAGATAGGTGTATTTTACAGAAGAAAAGCCTCATCCAAATTTGGAGGATGAAGAGAAATTCTGAAAAGCTCTTACTGTCCATCCTTCCATTTTTATGGAACTTTGTGCCTAGGCAAGGTGATGGAAAATTCAGCAGTTCTCCCCATCCCTGCAACCATAATACCTTTTTATGGTAACTGGCAAGCTGGAATGCAGTGTGTGGATATCTCTAGACAAGTCAGAGCATGTACTTCTCCTTATACACCTCTGCTGAGTAAGGCACATGACAGGTAGATGAAGTTACAGGAGACAACAGGAAGACGAAATAATAGGAGAAGAAATACATGAAGGACAGAGAGATAAACTGCAGAAAACCAGAATAAATTTCTGCAGCTCATAAAACAAGTTTGTTCAAGACACTTGTGAAAGAGCTCTACTTTAAATAATTACTGAACATGATTCAACAGATTCGTATAGTTGTCTACCTTTCTTCTGCAGAAAACTTAAGAGACACTTCCTGTTTTACAAACTTAAGCATGATACAGGCAACCACTTGTGAAACACTCAAAGACAAAAGGTTTATGAATTGCACTCCAACAGATTTTTTCAAGTACTTTTAGACAAATACTACTTTAATTACTTTTTGAAACCTAGCAATCAATAACACAGACTATGTTTTCACAGCATAAAACATGCACAAAGCCCCACACAATATTAAAACACAGACTATTAACTAGGAACACAGATTTTTCTTCAAAACATATTTTATCTTCCAGTCAAAATCTGCTGAGTAACTGCTTCCTTGTGTGCTGATGGCAAAAATTACAAAGAGTAAAAAATACTTTGGGGCTTTCAACTGATGGTTTGCTGGCAAAATCAATGACCACTAAACATTTCATTCATCCAGCTTTCTTCTTGGCTTTCATTTCACATTAAGTACTGATAAACAGCCAATCCTTTCCAGCTCTGTAATTGTTTGCTGGATAAACGCAGAAACTACAAACTAAAAAAACCTTGAGTAATATAAGAGAGTTAAAATCAGATTTTCAACCATTCAAGTTGAGAGAAAAGATATTTGGGATCTCCAGAGCAGAGTGCAATGGTAGCAAGGGAAGAGCTGATGAGGTTGCTGGCCCTTAGGGATGAGAGAGAACTAATTACTACCTATGAAATGCTGAGGAATTATACGGACATTAAGAAGACTATAGTGTGTCATAAATATTTCAATTTGAAGATTGTTTGGGGTTTTTCCAAATGCTTTTGGGCACGTGAACTGTCCTTCAAGCCTGACATAAATAGAGATGAGCTCCCTGCACTGATGTGGCCCAACTTATCTTACGATGACAACAATAAAAGGAAAGTAGGTATTTCCAACTGCTGCAAACACTCAGCAACAGACTTGATTGTATAGACTAAGTAATAAAAGCTAATTATCAGCAGACAGGGACTTCACAGAGCTTACCTGTTTCTGTGCTGATGCTCCCATATGCACCTGGCAAAACTTGACTGCCTGTTCAAGTGCTGCTTCTTCATCCACCTGAACACAGAATCACAACTAATGAAGTCATACTTAGCTCATCTATAAATCTAATTAAATTCACATGAAATGGGGATGTAGCATATGGGAGTAATGGGGAGAAGAGCATTTCTATGGCAGAACAGTGATCTTAACTTATTCGGGAACATATATTCAAAGAGACACGAGTATCCCAATTCAAACTAACATTTAGCATGAACAAACCCCATATAATTTGTATTGTAGCTCTTGAATTATTTGAAAAATTTAGTTCCAAAACATGGACAGTCCTACTCCTCACCCCTCCCCAGCAGTGGTCTTGTCAAGAGAATGGTTCTTTGGGAGGTATTTCTCTCCCCAGCTTTTGAACGAATACAGGGCCAATTTTATACTGCCTGGTTTGACAATTACTGTTATTTTACAATCCTGTCTGAGGTCACACAGAGAAATTAAAATTAATGATAAAATACTTTACCTGTTTAATCAGCATGTACGTTTCAGACATGATCTTCTCAATTTTACCCAGGTCATAGGCCATAACTTTCTGACCTTGCTGCCATACTCTATAAGCATCAAGCAGAAGTGTTTTTCCAGACTCCACATCCTCAAGTAATTTCCTTTTCCTGCTTGATCTCTGCACAGGTTCTTCTGTAGGCACTGGCTGACCTATTCCTTTAGCTGCCTGCTGCTGATGTTTTGAGCTGATACTTAGCTCTTCTAAAGAAAGTTCTGGAGTCCGGCTCTCTAGAGCTCTCTCCTTGGAGTTCCTGCCAGACTGAAGACGTTCTGGCTCACTGTGTTTACATGAAGAATCAATTTTTTCAGGGTCCTTGGAATATCCATCAAGATCCATAGGCTCAACTGAACCAGGGCCAGGGAGCTCTTTAATTTCCTTGTCATTCTTGTCCTCTTGTTCCAATATGTCCATAGCATTGGGAATTTGTCCCTGGGTCACGTCCTTTACTCCATTTTCAGTACTGTGTGATACTCCATCCGATAAAACTGGCTTTTTGGGAAGAACCTCTTTCCCCTCTTCAGCACTAGTTTTATTAGAGACATCTGTTGTCATCCTTCCTGAAGCAAGGTTAGAAGACTTGGAACTCTGATCTTCTGAAACCTTAATAAAAGAGATCCTTCTTCTCTGTTATTATTGAAATCAGAAAGCATTTGAGCACAGCTATGACTACCATGAAAACGGACAGCAAGTGCCTTTACATTACTGCTTCTGCTGAAGAATATGCATTTATTCTATGTTCACTCGTTTGTTCCTGAATATTAATTAATCCATGCCACAAGTCTTACAATTAACGTATTTCAATCAGTAAAAACACCACAGAGAAATAAACAGCACAGGTTGAACCAAAGCTGAAATGTTTTTTCCCCCCACACACCACTTCAGTCTATACTGAAGTACAAGGGGATTCAACTAAATGAAATACAAGGTTTTAATAGCACAAAATTTTCTTGTAATATACTGAAAGCAAAACTGAACATGCTCCTTTTGGCAACTGCAAATCAACCTCAAATTTAAGAATCTTCCCCTTGGTTGCTCTTCCATAACCTTCTTGTTAGTAGATCAAGAAGCATGTTAAACTCTGCTGGAGTGTTTTAGTTTTTGTACTTTTTCTTTGGTGATGGTCCAAAGGTAGAAAACCTCAGTACATCATCTCTTCTTTCAAAAATTGCTACTGATACAATTCTACCATCCAGATTTATGAACAAACTATTTCATACACCGAGTTCCAGTGTTCTTAACGAAGCTTTCTTTTACTATACTTGGAAAGGTCTTCGGAACAAACAATTCCTTGAATGCATTTATCAAATAAACTTCCAAGTTCAGTTATTTTCACCTGGAAACCAATTAGTCTCTATCTGACTTTTTAAAATTTCATCTAAATTGCAATTAAATGTAATAACAGGTGTGGTGCTGTCAAGAACCAGTACATAATATCTAGTTGTTTGCTTTTAGTTTGTAAGAGGAATATTAGTTCATTTTAAAAGGAAATTTCCAATAGACCCCACCTGTAGAAGTAGCTGTTCTTATACTCCACAAAACTACCATCATTTGAAATTTTAGGGACAGTCCAATCAAACTCACTGCAATCAGTTCTCAACAACTGTTATTTGTTACTGGATTTCAAAACCAAAAGACAACAATGTTGGAAGGAAGTTTAATATGTAGTTGCATATAAACAAAAGGTATTAGAAATAAGTGATAATAATGTAGCACTTCAGCCTCAGGAGATCTAAGGTCAGCAAACTAAACCTAGAAAAATCTAATTACTAAATCAAGGACCATTGAACACATTTACCTGTGTCAGATCGTTGAGAGTGTCCTCCAACACTTTCACTGTAAGCACAAAGGCTTGTTGGGCCAGAACTTGGCGATCTGCATCACGCAAGTACTTCCTGTGCCACAGTAAGGTAACAGAAATTAAGCTACCTGCCCAAATGTTATAGAACTTTAAAAGCAAGAACCAGGATATTGGAAAGAAAACAAAACCCCCCAACAAATAAACAACCCCCCAAAAAACTCAACACAACAATTTTAAAGCAAGTTAGAAGAAAGCAAACACCACGAATAGTTGCATATTGAAATCTAACACAATAGCTATGTTTCCCTCCAGTTCTCCCCTCCACATAACCATCAAATATGACATGCATGAAGCAAAAGATAGCACAATCTACAAACAAAGGGAAAGGAAAAAAAAACCCCAACAAACCAAACCCAGAGCAAAACAGACAACCAGAATTACAGTTTTCTTACATCAACCCTTCTGTGCCCCTCAAATACCAGCTTTTTAAATCAAACTTTTTCTTGAAAAAGCCCATCAGTCACACAAAGCTATCTGGAACTGACAGGGGATTTTCATGTTCTGGATACTAATACCTTTTTTCCTATTTAGTATTACTGAAAAAAAAAACAACCTAATTGTATGTGTAAAACTTATTCATTCTATAGCTCCATTTAATTTACAAGAGCATTGTAATTTCAGTGTATTCTGACAAAATGCTTTAGTCCACTTTAAAGGAAAAACACTTCCAGCCATCAATCCCACCTAACTGAGTTTGAGGAAAACTGAATTTCTATTTCAGAATTAGCTGGTTTTACTGAGAGGGCTAAAAATCAAGTAAATTTTGAAGGGTACTATTTCAGTCAAAAAGCCGACATTTTCAACACATATTTTCTCTCTACAATATTACATTAAACTGGTAATTAAAATTTTATGGTTTGCTTTTCAGACAAAAGATACAAAAACCTGATTAAAGTTCAGCTAAAAACTCCCCGTTTTTAAAAATAGGGTTGTTACAGGCATATGCCAGACACACTCAGAATGTTTGCATTTATAAGTTCACCATAGCTGGCACTGGCCAATCCAACATGTCAAATTACTTGTTTGTTAAATTCAGTCTAGACTTATAAATAACAAAATATTTTTAGTACAACTATGGGCTTGCTTAGGACAGAATTTAAACCTTCTACGGTCCAGTACTTCAGATATGCTAAAAGTCAAAGTATTTTTGGCTTCAAGACTGCTGAACATGTGGTGACATTCCCAGACATACTACGATCTATGCAAATTCACATGCCCTTACACTCAAAAACACATGAAGAAACCTTCAATGCCTCCAACTTATTGCTATCAATCATCCAGTTCAATTTCCTTAGCATTTGCCAGAGACCGATTTCAACATTTCCGACTCGGCAAGCTACCAGAATTATACCTCAACTGCTTCAGTGTTTTCCTTAGATACTTATTTTGGTCTTCCAATTGATATGAATCTGTATATAGCTCATGTTAAATAGCTTCTTTTTCTTAAATAAGGTTAAATCAATTAAAAATTAGATCACCCATGAATAGGATAAGCTTTAAATAACATCAGCTACCAACAGGCACATAACCATTGTTCAGGACGTCAAGGATTACAGGAAGGCAGGATGCCTGAGCCGTGACCTCCCTCACTGGACATAGCTCATATGCAAGAGGCCAGCAGAGGGGTGCAGAAGTCACGATGCTCTGTTCCACCAGTGAATCCCTCCACACAACAGAAAGCCTCTGCAAGTCTATCAAGGCAGCTCTATGGCTGCTCTGAGTTTCAAGAGAAATTCTAGGTTCTCCTATGGAATTGCAATCCTTAGAAAAATTAACCATCATTCCACTATATTCCTGAGGAATCTGTCTAAAGACTTTTCCTAAACTAAATAAAATAGTTACACAGTGAACAAAATGTATTCAAAGCTTTACAAAGTGATGGATTAAAATAAATAGACCATACTTTCCCTGATCAGGGGTCCTCTGTAGCATAGATGAGACTTTCAGCAAGGTGTTGTAATCCTTTAGTTGTGACAATAGCGGTTCATATGAGATGCAAAACTGCCTGGGCGGTCGATCTCATCCACGGGGATGCGCCAGATTCCCTGCAGAGAAAGAAAAAAGAGGAAAACCTCTAAAGAGGGATCCAACCGAAAAGGACAGAAGGATCCAACTGAAATCTTCAGATATGGGTGGGATTCCACAGGGTACTGAATTTCACTGAGGGTCAGGGAAACAATGGACAGACAAATGCTGTGGTCCTTCAGACAGGGAGATCCGAGTCAACTGATTCTCAGGAACTGATTCTTAGTAACCAAGTCTTAGGAACTTGGTTACTGGCTTGGTATCATCAGTGTTCACCATGGCACTAACCAGTCTTATAGGAAGAATTGGACTCCTCAGCAGTATCCATTTTCCAGTGGCAGTTTCAAACACTTGTGCATACATCCTGACCCTTCTAATTAAATTTCTCGGACAAGGGAATCTTTGGGGAGCAAGGCTGGAGTCTGATAAAAAACCTGTAATTTAATTATAGTTAGTCAGGTCAATTTTTGCCATTTCTGGTAAGTAGCAGGAGAAGGAAAAATGCCTATCTCCAACTACCAATTATGACCATTCGCAAAACCTGCTGTTACATCAGTGCAAACCCCTCCCCCTTGTGCTTTATTCAGTCCTGAAGCTTTTCCTATAGCAGCTCTTTAAGATTAAAACCTCTGGTTGTGTAAACCTTTCTGTGACAATGCAGGAAAGAATAGTCTCATTGATAAGAGACCTGATAGAAAATTAATTTTGCTTTCCAAACCTGTTCTGAAAGAAGGATATACAAATACTTACTCCTCTATCCTTGTTTAAAGGTCTTGCTTTGATATTTTTAGCTTTGCTTTCAGTGTGAGCAAAATTCTTCAGAACTTAATGCAAAGTGGAAGCAAAGAAAATTATTACTGAAATCATAGATTACATCTGACCACAAAAGAAGCAGATGCATAACCGACCCGTCTACAACAGACCCTCCCCCTCGCACGTGTTCAGAGAATCTGCAGTTCTACTCCATAGGATGCATAGGAACTTTGGAAAAACCAACAAATATCAGTGTTTTTAAATAGGAAACAATGACTTCAACTAGATATAATGCACAGCCTGTCCTGCCAGATTTTCTTACTCTTGTTCTCCCTCATGCTCTCTACTCTTACACCCTGATGATGACAGACAAAGCCATTTTTCCTCTTTGCTCCCTGTATCTCTCTTTCAAACCTGTTTTTGTAGCTTTCCTTTCCCAGGAAGTACCTATACCACCACCACCATTGACCCCCGAGGCACAACTGTTGCTTCCTCCTATCAACAATTACCAACCTCCACAAGTACCTCCTGTGGCTTGGTGGCAAAGATCTTATCTGCTCATGCAGCTCTGTAGCTCTCAAGCACGTACAGATCTTGTAGGAGACAGTTCCGTAAAGCAGCACATACTTAATTGAAAAAGAGACACTTTTTCTTCCCCCAAACTATACAATGACTTTCCTTTCAGGCCACAGATAAAACACGTTCTGGAGCTGACATTTTTTGCTTCTCTGCATGTACATAAACTGGGTTTCTGCCAAATCCTAAAACAACTGAATCATCATGGCACATGACAACATGGCACTCCATTGCAACAACCTACTTAGCCAATTTGACTATACAAAACATGTATATGGTCAACTTGGATACCTTGTGTAGGAATGGAAGACAGCCAATATAAGTTCCTGGTCTTCTTCAG